ACCATAATTTTGACAATTCCCCATAGAGGAAAGGATCCTGATAGTCAGCAATGAGCTATAGTCCAGACTCCTAGTCTCCCCCTTAAAAATCCCTTTCATACTCCCTTGTATAACCCCCTAGATAACCCCTGTAAGGAGATTAGATTTTGGTGCACATAACTACAAAAACTAGAACAGTTAGCAAAGTCACAGATCCCATCTCCGCCGCTTCGCTGAGAGCCTTGATATCCTCCTCAGAGGGAGGCGTGACCGGCAGCAAGACCAGCTGCATGTCCATGGGCAAGTTTAGGTCGGCATCATCATCCTCGACTCCAGGAAGAACCGCAACTACGAGGGGCTTTCAAAAAGGTTTCCCATAGACAGGAAAAATGACTGACCAAAAAGGCGTATGGCCTTGAGAATGACAAACATATCCCCAAAAACATACTAGGTAGGTGTCTTACGAAACTTGTGTTATCCATGACAATGAGATAAGGTGATAAGTATGTATGGTACTCCAGGATACTACCCCCTTTTAATTTGAACCCTCCCTTAAATAGTCCAAACGGGAAAGACTCCCAAGAAACATTCAAGCGTCTAGGCTGGCACCATTGTGCACGAGCCGCTGCCGAAATCGCGGCACTCCACATATCTTCTGCAGATGTTGCTTCAACATCCGCGCATTGCTAAAGTCCCCCACAGAGAAGGAAGCGAGCTCCCTCCCCGATGTCAAGCTCACGTGTAGCATCTCGTCCGATGGCGCTTTGAGATTGGTCAGAATGGTGCACCTACCTTATACAGAGTTTCCCGAAGTAGAGTCTTCCTTATATAGCCTATGGTCCGGAGTATTGAGACTGCCCCAAGATGGCTCCAGATCTCTCAAACCTCTTGATGACTATGTTATATAAGGATGGTGATAGGAGGTGCCGGTCACGCTGACGATGCCATGGCTCCAAACCCTCGCAGAACTGCTTGCAAGAAATCTGCTATACTGCTATACAGCATTAGTTTGCCATATTTTTTTGCAAAAGACTAACAATGTACCCTAAACCCTAAACCCCAAACAATGAAGAATTGCGAAGCCTGGGTTGGGCTACATGTTGCCATCATCCCCTGGGCCTTGCGGTCGGTCATAAAGCATAAGAGGACTTTCCTCACACTACAGCTGTCTACACTACAAGAGCTATAGTCTCAACTCCTTGATTAAGGGGGTTATGTAAGGGACTACTGTAGGGGTTACTATGACTCACAACTTAGCCATAGCAATCAAAATCGTAATAAGCAAGAGAAGAACATTAATGAAGGTAATCGGTACTAGCGCCAGCACGTTTAGCAGCAGCTTGCGCTTTTGGTGAGGACCTTCCTTTAAGGGCAGTGTATAACCCCCCTAAACCCTAAACCCTAAACCCTATGGTGGCTGCTTTCAAAGGACCTCTAGAACTCTAGAACATTTGCAGTTCGAACAGGCTTGCAGGGAACGCATGGACTCGCCATGGTATACACTGAGGATCCCCAATAGTCCACAGGGTGCTAGGCTTTCAGTTGCAGCGTTCAGAGTTGAGGTCTTACGATTTTGTAGAGTTAAAGGTTCAGGTGGGCTTCAAACCTCCAGGCAGAGGGTGTCAGCCTTGACCGCCACGCTTCCATTGGCAGATGCTGTGCTGTTGTATAAGGATCTACAAAGTGATGCGAAACATTCCGGAACTGAAAGACTGAAAGCCGCAACCCCGAGAGCCTTTCAGCGCACTCCTGCTTAGAGCGCCAGTGCTGGCCCACAGTCAATTCGTAGTTCCCCCAAATAGGGGGACCCCCAATATAGCATAAAGCTTATCGTAAGGACCCCCGCAATGTACACCAGTTGTGGGAGCCCCCCCAAGTGCACTTTAACACCCTAGAGAATCTTGGTAACTTTACTGGTGGGGACTCCTAGCTGGATGACTAATCAATCACAACAATGAAGCCAATTACAAAAAGTTAGCCTACACCCTGAACCCCAAACCCTAAACCTCATTGGGTTGACTAGGAATGAAAGAATATATCCTTACAGTAGCCTTATATAACCCTTATAGTAGCTTCCATCCTCTTTTCCATTCCTTCATTTCCAGCTGACCAAGGGTAAGTAATTCCTCTCTATACCCCCAGTTTCCATTACATGTTCCATGTTCTTCTCCATGTGATCCTCCATGTTTTTTTTTTGGTTGGGGGGAGGGGGGGGGTAACCCTAAACCCAATACCCCTAAACCCTAAACCCGAATGGTAAGTTAGATCCTAACCTTGCCTCTCCAGCGAGCCATCGCGGATGATGTTCGGCTGCTTAGGCTGCAAGATCGCCAGCCTGAAGTGGGTACCATCACGCCAGGCAACTTGGGACCGAAAGTGGCCCTAACCCCTAAACCCCTAACCCCTGGGGATTCTATAGTGGGCCCTCCACAAATCATATACTGGGCCTTCCAGGGATCATATAGGGTGTATGGTAGAGGCTTACGCGTATATGTGGTTAGGAAACATGCGTGTACGTGTGTGGGGGAGGGTCAAGATTGAGAACAAGGGTTTTAGCTTTGAGAAATTTCAAGGCAAAGGCATACTGTAGTTGAAATTCGAATGTACTGCGAACATGTTCCGTACTCGTGACTGCTCGTAATAGGGTTCAGTGTAAAGAGGGTGGCGTCTGTGGCTTGACCCCGTCCTGCAGACACCAACAACTGGAACTAGTGGCTTATCAAAGTCGTGTCCTCCCCTCTGTTGAACCTGAAATGCCAAGACTTTGTTTACTATCCCTTTACGAACCTTGTAAAACTTCTAGTCTGAAGGACCGCAAAACCCTGCTCCAGGTTTTTGACTGGTTGTCTACAGGGCATTTCTTACGAGAAACTCCAAGCTCTCTGACTGTGAGCCTCACAATAGCACTTTTGTCGTGGTGATTAAGTCAGACGAGCTTTTTTTCTTCTTGTAAAATTCTATACCCAAGAGCAGGATGTAGTCTTACTCTGTACTAGGCCCTACTGGGAACTGAGTTCCTTTGCCTGAATACTCCTCGAATGATGATAATGCTGGGAATTCGAAGCTGGGTCGTCGTAGGGTTTCTTAACGGAGATTTTTGGATCCTCGCATATCCCAGGAGTAGTCCCAGATTTGTAGCAGCCCCTCACACACCGTAATTAAGCCTGAATATGTTTACAATTGCATCCAGGAGTTCCTCAACAACTTGATGCCCTGCACAAAGATATCCCTAACACCTTTAAAACGAGTATTTCCTAACGCCCCCAAGCAGACCCTATTCTCCGAATTCCCCTCTCTTTAGAGGACCGTCATCGCATAGGGGCAAGCTGCTTGAAGGATCAAGCGGGCTTGGCAAGTAAACCTCTAACTTCTATACCCCTAGCAGCCATCTATTTACTTGAGCTATCCCCATTCTCAACCTACTTACCGGGTCGCACTTACCCTCCATATGCTCATGTGTTAGTCCACCGTTGAAGCCCAGCAGCACAAAGATCCGATTCCAAGCCTCAGTTGAAATTCCGCTTATCAAGGGGGTTGCCCTACACTGCCCCTCACGGGCTCTGCTCCAAATAGCCCTAAACGAATTGAATTCAGTTAGTGTGACCCTTAGGGGGGCACAGGTTGAGGGTAGTAGGAGCACATGAATTTAGAGCTTCAGGCAGCTGACTCAGGATCGCATACTGCAAGAAATCAAGCAGACAAATTCGGGGCTCCAGCTAGGTCCAAACACCCAAACGCTCTGCCTTTAGGTACCGAACACGCTGACTATGGAGCTCAGACCTACATGTTAGAGTCCTTGAACCCTGACAACAATGTGAAGGTCAGAAAAGAGCATCGTGTATAAGTAGGTCTGACGCTTTCTAAGCATTAGCAGAATGGGTCAAGGGTGTGTATACTACCCCAACTAGGGAGATACACAGAACGACGCGCAAGAACACCTGTCGAGCAGATAGCCATATCCTAACTTCCTGATCCCTGACTGACCCGCCTTCATGGCATGAATCAGTGAGGGATGCCATTCTTCGATAGGAGGCGTGGGGGACAGAAATCCCCCTGTTCTGGGTTCCCTAACCACGCCCCCGAACCCCACCTAACAATTCTCAATCAGCTTTAGAAAGACTTAGGTAGGGGAGAACCTTAGGCGGCGCATGATGGTAGGAGTTCCCTAAACTCTCACACATTGGCATACAGAACATCAAAGCCAGCATTATGCTACCAGTGTTGGGTGGTATTGCTGCCGGCGTCCGCTGTTCGGCTACTCGTGCTGAAGGATCAGGCCACCTGCCCGAAATCTCCTGGTTCTACACCCTAAGCCCCAAGAGCCTCAATCCTTAACTCTGACAAATAACTTCAAAGGGTAGTTTCCCAAAATAAGGGGACCCCAATATAGACCCCCAAATACTATAATCCTTATTATTGGGACCCCTAAAAAGTACGCCAAATTTTGGGAAACTACCAAAGCAAGTGGCAGATGCCAGGACCATGAGAACGAACATGATGCTACTGATGACAGTGAGCTGCGGCAGCAGCGGCCGCCTGGGCAGAAATCAGAGCTCATTCTTGTTGAGGCTACCGAATTACCTCTTCAGAAGTTTATGAGGCCCCGGAGCGGTTGTGCTACAGGAGAACTGTGACAAGTCTCCAACTTACATTTTTGGCAGATTGTGGAATCTGCGCAAGTTCGTAGTCACTTGCACATTGCACTTCCAGAGCGTCCGCCCGAGGCGTGTCTCCCGAATGGTCAAGGCCGGCCCGGGAAGAGAAGCCGAATTGGCCGTGAATAGCTCCCTGCCTAAAGCATGGAACAGCCTACCCAGAGTGCTGCAGTTCACATGAAGGCTCGCAAACATGGCAGGTAGCTCCTGGAACTAATACCTGACTGTACTCCCTCACTACAAACAGAACAAACCCAGAAAGGAATTGCAGCAGAGACTGTTTGGGGGACGGAAACGACTTGCGGTTTTGGCCTTTTACGCAGGCATGGGAGGGAAATACCTTTGTTTGGAATTGAGGGGTGGGTCGTCGCCGCATCCTCCCTAAACCCTACACCCTAAACCCTAAAACCCTAAACCCTAAAACTCTAAAACCAGAAACCCTAAACCCTAAAACTCTAAATCCATAAACTCTAAAGCCCTAAACCCTAAAACCCTAAACTCCTTAACCTACCACTGTGCCAATACCTCAACCGGCTAGGCGAGGCTAAAGCTTTAAGGATGACCTTCCTCATGCACTCGTCACCTTACTGGGAGGGTTAGTAGGGAATATGGGTATATACATATATATATATATATTATCATGTATCTTTCTATATATATATATATAGAGTTTAGGGTTTAGGGTGGGGAATGTGGGAATGAAATATAGAGGGATATATAGGGATTATATACCCATATTCGCTACAAACCGCCAGTAAGTTACATGATTGTTCACAGAGCTGCCAAAACCTGCTTCTAGGTAGGCCCACCCTCCCCTGAAAACAGCCCCCCGTCACGAACATAAACTATTCCCAATAATACTGTGCAGAGACTTTTTTGGGGTTTTGGGGGATTTCAGCCCTTGTAGTATCTGAACCCTTGCCCGCAGCTTGTAACCGTTGCTAGTCCAAGGTGCTGCTTGAGTTGCACGTAGCTTTGCTCAGCAAAGTTGTACCTGCTTCTGCTTGGTGTAAGGCTTGGGCTTCAAAGCGCTGATCCGCGGTTTTCACGACCTCCTACCTACCCGCCGTGGGCACTCGTAGAGAACGGTGAA